ACATAATGAAAGCAAATGTTGAATCTAATTGCTCCTCTTTTCGAATCAAAATCGTCCGAACTCCAAAAAATCATTTGTAGGCTTCTGCCCAACCCTAAACGCTAGCCCAATGCAAAGTCCGAGTCGATTGGTCTATAATTGTAACCTCTAGTTCAACTAAAAAATCAAGATTTTTCTATATTTGGTTCAACCCCTGAATATTTAGCGATCATCATAAGGCTTCTATTTTGATCTAAACCTTACCTCCATGCAAAATTTCGTGAGGATCGCGTCATAATTGTAGCGTGATTACAATTAAACATTGACAAAAGGTCGGACTAAGTTGGCTTAGCTGGGCGAGATAGGAAAATCCATATTTTGTTTCCTATGTCTTGGATCAATATTTTGAACCAATCAAAAAACATACTGTAGGGTATATATTGCAGCACCCTTGTTATTATTAACTGATATATTACCTTGTGTGAAAATTTAACCACATGGGTTGCTCTATTCGATGATCAACCTAATCGACGTCATTAAGCTTTTGTTTACTTATTAATCAGCGATATTTTAAACCAAAATTTTGTACAAATATTGGACTTTGCTACTGTATATATGGTATGCTATTTTCCGATATTTTTGCCGTGTGTAGAAGGAAGATGGAAGACGTTAATTTTGGATTGATTGGTTCTTAAACCAACTAGTTATATTGTTGTTACACAACTTTGAGACCTTATGATAATATTGGCTATGTGGAAAGGCCGGATCACTTCGGGAGATAGCCAGCCAATAAGACTCAACGCATGCGGAGAAAAACATGGATCTATGTGGGCACTTAGATGTATCAGTTTTCCCAAATAAGACAATTAGTATTTTCAGTAAAGTCAAATATCTAGAATAATTCTGGATGAAAAATCTTAACTGGAAAAAAAACATTAACTGCGGAGCAAACAAGCTCACAGATGCTTATCAACTTTGGTCACGAAATCCAAAAATTACTCATTGGATGTGCATCGAAATTAGACCTACTCTAACATATGTGTATGTGGCCTGGTGGACAGCAATGGATAACAAGTGCAATAAAGTCCAACGAATTCGTTGCTTAGGCATCAGCGGGGCAATGAGGACTACACCAATGACGTATAGTGGGGTGAGATTCTCAAAAACGAGAATTAATTCAGAAAAGAATTCTGTTGCTTTGAAATATTGCTCAGACATTTATATTACCCCTAGTATGTTTAGCTAAAAATGGAAAAAATCGGCCCACGTTTCGGTATGGCCCCCTTATAGCGTTACTTCCTGATTTTCGGTATTTCAAATGTTTTGACCACAATGTTAAACAAAATCATGTATAACTTGACATTTAGAGCTCTGAGTAGATATAATCTCCCCACGCTTTTTAATATTATATATTAAATTATATATTATATCTCTTAATTATCGGCTTCAGCCACAATTTCAAATCAAACCAATCATGAGTAATTTGACTTCTTTTAGTTCTGCACTAAAATAATATCTCCTTGCAAAATTTTGTGAAGATAGCTCCACTATTATGTATATAGTCTATACATAATAGTATTATGCATATATAGTCTATACATAACGGCACTTCCAAATTTAAAGTATTTAGAAGATATCTCTCTAGAAAACTTGATAAAGATAAGTTAACTATTATAAAGGTACTTTCTATTTTTTGGGTATTTTAATTGTTTCATAGTTTTTTTTACAAACGTATTATTTGGTATTTTATTTCTCAGTGGACAAAAACTCCACAAAATGCCAATTTTAGCAACATTATTCACTGGTTTTTTTCTAGTTTCGTATTTGAATATTGTATTTGCTTATGAGTTGCCTATGCAGGTCCACGTCTTCCTAAAGACCTCAATATACCGCTATATTCGATATTTTTTACATTTTTAAATAATTTTTAATGGATTTTATTTTTTTTTGAAAATTTTCAAATTCTTGGAGGTTATTCAAAGTTCGGCCTGTTTTACTTGTTTGCCATAAGTTGTAGTACCCATTAAGAACTTTAAGTACGAAATTTGAACAATGCTGGTAAATAATGTTGCTTAAATCATCAAAATATCGAGTATCGGGGGTACCGTTATATGGAGGCTATTTTGCACGTGTGTGCAAAATTTTAACCTTATATCTCAATTTGTTTGAAAGATACGCTATCTTAAAAGACATCGCTAAATCGAGTTAGAATTTTACGCTGATCCAGAATATAGTGTGTATTTCGAGGAGTTACAAACGGAATGACAAAGCTAATATACCCTTCATAGAATGGTAGAGGGTATAACAAAAACGGCACGAGTTTGTTGTTGATGATAGAGATGAAGTTCCACACTAAAATACAAAAGTAAAATGCGTAGTAAATCGTAGATCCCATAAAGTACATATACTCATAATCAATATAAAATTCTAAGTCGATTTAATGATGTCCGTCTGTCTGTATGTCCGTCTGTCTTTTGAAGCACGATACATCCCACATTATTTGACGTAGACCTTTAAAATTTGGCAAAACAATTTGTATTGTGTCTAGGATGATTGGTATAGGAAATGAGATATATCGGTCCACGTTTTGGCATGGTCTCCATATAACGGTACCTGCCGATATTCGGTATTTTGATAAGAATTGGTATTTGCAGTACATAATGGGTTCTAACCGAGTGGCAGAACATTGAATATTTAGTTGCACGTTTTCCTATAGCGCACATATAACGATACGCACCGATATTCGATATTTTTATAATCCTAGTCACATTTACCCACATAATTGTTGCAAATTTGATATTTTGGAAGATTTGATAGATGACAATCCTTGAAGCATAAACTTGTCTATAGAGGTTCCCGTTTTGGCATGGTCCCATGTAACGGTCTCACTCGCTTTATGGGTTTTTTGATAAGTTTAACTGCATTATGAAAAAGGTCATACATGTATATGATGTTTAAAGTGAAACACGCTTGAATCTAGATACTTTTATATATAAATGTTTCTTTACACTAAGATGGAGGGTATTAAAATTTCGACCCGGCCGAAATTAATATTTCTTTACTTGTTTTAATTGCATATACAATTTCGAATTAATTTTTAAAAAATTTTAACAGCACTGTATTTAAAACTGTTTTATTCTAAACCTGCAGCCGACATTTCCATTTTAAAATGATCATTTTTAATGAAAAAAAATATTAAACATTAAAGAGTCAAAAGCCAATTCTTTCCTTCTTCTTTCCAAAAAGTGAAACATTTCTCAACCCAAGCGCTGTGTAATTAGAAGACTAAACAACATAGGACTTCGAAATTTTTGGCAGTGAAGTAGAATTTTGTGTTCTATAATAGTTTAAAATAACCTCCGTTTTTTTGTGATTTCATACCTCTTTTCAACGATTTTAGAAAGTATTCTTGATATCCACCTAATAGAGGCACAGGTTAGGTATGAGACATTGCAGCCATGAGGCTAAAAGCGATGAAAGAGTGAATCTATAAAGGTCGTACAGGTATTAGAAGCAACGAACGGGCAAACTTACTTCGGAATATTCTAGAGGTTCAAGGGAATAAAGATAACATGGGAACCAAATGTTTTTATTTTTCTTTTTATACCCTCCACCATACATAGTATGGACGGTATATTAAGTTCGTCATTCCGTTTGTAACTCATCGAAAATATAATTTTAGAACCAACAAAGTATAGACGATTTAGCCCTGTCCGTCCGTCTGTCCGTCTTTTGTAATCACGCTACAGTCAAAAAGATTTAAGATAGGAAGCTAAAATTTTGCCTACATCTGTCTTTTGTCTGCAGGCAGGGCTATATCGGTCCACGATATCGTGTTGCTCACATAATACGGTACCCCCGACATTCGGTATTTCGATGATTTTAGCCACGTTTTGCAATGGAATTGTTTGAAATTCCACACAAGGAGTTCCTTGTGAGTACTTTACCCCCTGAAAGAGAATTGTCTACATAGGTCAACGGTATCGTATAGCCCCCATATAACTGTACCCCCGATATTCGGTATTTTGATGATGTTAACCACATTTCTCAATGGAATTGTCTGAAATTCCACATTAGAAGTTCATTGTGAGTACTTTACCCCCAGACATAGATTTGTCTGTATAGGTGCACAATATCATATATCCCCCAATATATCGGCACATTACGATATTCGTTATTTTTAAGATTTTAACAGAATTTTTAATTCCTAATTTCTTCCAAATGGTGGAGGGAATTCAAAGTTCGACCCGGCCGAAATTACTGCTTTTTTACTTGTTAATAACATAATATGATGGCAACAAATTGGCCCAGAGTCTACACTCGTTGAGCTATCAGCGAGGGATTCGGCCGAATTTGGCCGAATAACGATCCTATCATCAGCAAAGTATAACTCCATTACCTTTTACATAGTCAAGGAAACAAAAGGCCGTTCAAATATATTATGATTGCCATAATGATAATAAGGGAGGTGGCCAAGAACAATTTTTTTGAGGCGTGACAAACTTCAGTATTTGCTCTCCAACTACAGCGGTGTGTTTTAATTATACAATAATAAAAATTATCTCAGCGCTAATTTTTAATTATTATATTTTGTGATGCTATCTTCAGCTGCAAAACAGTGAATCAAACAGAAAACAAAGAACTCATAAATAACCCCCTACTGTGCCAAACATAAGAGCTGGCCCCAAAAATTAGACATACCTGCAAAACGATCGCTGCAAGGGCAGCAACAATACTTGAGTCACTCGAAAATGTTTGGTATAAAACTGGTTAATTAATGTTCGTCGTTTGTGTTAAACTTATTTTTGGTGTTTTCTCTTATTCTCTGTCTATCTAAGCATCAGTTCAAAATAACCAAAAAATTGCTGCACACATCACTGGGTCATTTCCTGAATATGCGAGCGTATCGACTCCAAATAGTGGGTACACGCGCAGGCGCATTCCCCAGTCTTGCACTAAATTTTGGGATATGTAGGCACTTCAGGAATTACCAATTCTTTGGGAATAGATCTTTTACTCACCTCGTTTTCAGCGCAAAATGGCAGTGTAATTTATTTCATTGAATGTCAATGAGGCGACAGGGAAATAAGTGATTTGCTATTGAAGGTGTTGTTGTGGCGACTTGGCGGTCTTTTTCACAGGTGATAACAATCAAGCACGTAAAAACTTATTTTTCAATTCAATTTTTTTTTGTTGAAATATTTGTTTGTTGGTTTGGAATTTTCGAACTATTTATCACCCTCTTCCTAATCTCAAATGGATGAAGCACAATTTTTTGGGTTTTCTTGCTGTTGTTTTTTAGTGGTTTATTCCCGACACTTTAATATGTATGGTGGTTGGTATCTTTATAAACTAAATAATTTTCGACAAGCAAATGGGAAAATTAATTGGTACTAGATAAAACAATGTGCAATTTTATAGTCCGGACACGTTAACTTTCGAAAACCGTAACACCGCCAGACCGACGCGTACACGGACCTTAGTACGAAGCTTGTTAACAATGCTGAGAGACTTCACCTACCTAACTACCTATCAGCCAACTTGAGGCGACAATTCGAAAAATCACAAAGCAAAAGAAATAATCACACAAAAACAATCAAAACAAGAAAAGATAACACAAAAATGCAAATTTGTCGTAATTTACGTGAACAAAAAATAGACAATTAGTTTCCGTGGCTTTGTACCGCACCGTACCGAACTTAAATCAAAACTGAATGCGTCAGAGTTTGAGCCATGGCTCAAACGTTTTCTCTAGCAAATCACATAACAACCACCACTACTTTGGCCAATGCCGCCGCTAAGGTGTACAATATGGAAACGCTCACACAGTGCTTCGAATACAGGTTTAACGGAGACCGAAACCTAGCCTTAATAGAAGTTAAGGTCTACGAGCCCAGTTATCTATGAAGTACACACCTGCATTGCTCTCTCTATCTCTCCCTTTCTCTCTCTCTCTCTCTCGCGAACGTCAAATGTTTTACACTCTCTTCCTAGTAATGACAACGAGAATGACTTGCTTAGCATCCAACACGCTTCGACATCAACACAACTCAGCTAGGGGAATCTATTTGGCTTGTTCGCATAGGTAATAATTGGCGTTTGATTTGGTTCTCCAGTTGTTGGCTTAAGCATAAATGCCGGTTTTGTTATTTGTTTGTATTATTTGTTGTCATTGTTGAGGCCAGCACGAGTCAGCTGTTCCTATTGGCGTTGAATAGCGCAAAACTGTAGATGCACAGTGGGAGATTTTTTCACATTACTTGCAAATGAAATCATTGTGACCAGTTCTAAAAGCTGCATTAGTATACTTTCTGAAGCTAGGTGTTGAGTAAACGTCAAGTCCGATGGAATATATGTGTACAAAAGGGGTTACAACGGATCTTGCGTTAGCAAAAATATTTAGATGTGTAAAATTTGAATAGAGTTGGATGCTTATTTGGCGTTCTTTGAGCGCTTTGTTTTTCAAAAATCTTGAACCCTATGTGGGGGAGGTTGATGGACATATTGAGAGGAACCAAATCCGAATGCAATATTTTTGTTTTATGAGCTTCATGAATATTCAAAATTCTGTACAAAAAAGTAGCTGGAGTTCGATTTTAAATTAAAAATGTCAATTAAATCGGTTAGATAATGTAATAAAATATTCAAAATAACATAAAACGTGAGTTACCGATATATGGGCAATTATCTACTAAAGGGAGCGTGAACCTCTATTACTATTGCCAACGAAAGTAGTTGAAAATTAGACAGAAATACAAGGCTGCAAACCACTTGTCGATTTGGGTTGGTGCGTTTCAGTGGTTCACGCTACATTCGAAACCTTTCGGTTTTTGAAATGGGATTTCATGCGGATCGAATCGTGGTTTTTATACCCTACACCACAAGGTGGTCAGGGTATTATGTCTTTGTGCAATTGTTTGTAACAGGCAAAAGGAAACGAGATAGACCCATAGTTCCTTTTAATGATCTGCATAGAATCACTTTCTGAGTTGATTTATGCACGTCAGTCGGTCTGTCCGTCCGTCCGTCCGTCTGTCCATGTATTCTTGTGAACAAAATGCAGGTCGCATTTATTATCCGATTGAGATGAAATTTTGCAAACAACATTTGTTTGGCCCAAGGATGAACCCTATTGAAATTGGAGATAATCGGTAAAAATTTAGATATAGCTCCCATATATATCTTCGTCCGATTTGCCTTTTATTGTGCACCAAACGTGTAATATCAGCCCGAATAGTATGGAATTTCGCACATACAACCAAATTAGGCCTGAAAATAAGTGTGCCAAAGTTTATCGCAATCGGTTCACATATAAAGCTATAGCTCCCATATATATTGTTCATCTGATTTGTTATTTATGTCTACCGCAGCCGTAATATGCCCTATGTAACAACAATATTTTGGGAAATATATCAAATACAGCTTCGAAATACCTTTGCTAAATTTTGTCGAGATCGGTTCAGATTTGGATATAGCTCCCATATATAACTTCGTCCGATTTACATTTTATTGTGCACCAAACGTCTAATATTTGCCCAAATGGCAAATCCTGGCACTTACGACCGAATCTGAGATCGGTTCAGATATAGCTATAGCTCCCATATATATTGTTCATCCGATTTGTTATAGTTGTTACCCACAGCCCTAATATGCACTCCGTAACAACGATATTCAGGGAAATATATCAAATACAGCTCAGAAATATCTTTGCCAAATTTTATCGAGATCGGTTCAGATCTGGATATAGTTCCCATATATTTTTTTTATCCGATTTCAAATTAATTTCGCACCAAATGGGCAATACAAGTCCGAATTTAAAAGATACAAATGCTTCGGCATATTTAGTCCTTTGAATTTTAAATTATAATTACAATCATAGCGTGTATGATTGAATTCTCCCATAAAAACTTTTAATTATTAAGTGGAGCTCAACTAAATTAGGTGTAGGGTATCATAAAATCGGCCCCACCCGACTTTAGGACTTTTTTACTGGTTTTATGTGGTTAAGTGTTATGTGTAAATACATACATATCCCGTTCCACATACAAATCACATCAAATTCATTAATTTACTCGCCTGGGATGGCCTCCAAGCAGTTATCAACATATTTATAGTAAGAATGTATTTAATTATATGACTTGTTGTTGGTTGGGCGTTGGTTATGTTTCGATAAAAATTGGTAATTTTGGAGGCACCGCGATTCTATATGGTAACTCCGCGATTCTATGGTACATTAACTTTGTCTTTCCATTTGTAATTCCTCGAAATGCTCATGTTAGGTCCTATATATAACAAACCTAACATGAGCATTTCGAGGAATTACAAATGGAAAGACAAAGTTAATGTACCATAGAATCGCGGAGTTACCATATAGAATATGGTAGTATATATATATATATATATATATATATATATATATATATATATATAGATATATAGATATATATATATATATTTATAGCGATATCTGTCTGTCTGTTTTAATCACGCTATCTTTCGAACAAATTGAGATAGAAGGTTAAAATTTTACACACATGTATATGTTGCCAGGTTAAGTTCGTAAATGGGTCATGCCAGTTACGTTTTCGTACAACCTATATTCGATATTTTGTCAACGACATTATTAATCAGCATTGTTCTAAATTTCGTATTAAAGGTTAAGTTCACATGGCACTTGATTCGCTCTCTATTCGTTCTTCGACCGTTAATTATTAAATATTTTCTTAATTCCCCACCTGAAATTTGCTCAGCGAAAAAATATTTTTGTTCTTTGTTCCATTCAAATCACTTACAGGACTAAGATGAAATATAAAATTTAAAATTTATAAAGAAAAATTAATATTATAATATTGAATGGCGTATGAACATTCAACCGAAAGTAAATTGGGTTGGTAAAAAGAGTTGGAATATTTTCGGAAAGCTAGAAACAAACCAGGCACTTTTTTCAAAAATTTTGCATCGATAAAAAATAGATTGGCCAAAATCCAACTATATATTCAAAATGTCAACATTTACAGAAACTTGAATGAATTTTGTAAAATAATTATAAAATAGCTCTTTAGAGGAAAAACAATAAATTCTTATATCTATATTAATGCGAATTGCACATGTTTTCATATAAATTCCCATTAAAATCAACAAACATTTTGAAAAAAGGAATTATGTTACTATGAAATACAAATCGTGCAGTATGAACGTGTTAATTCTGAGAGCGAACAACGTGATTGGAATTGCAATGAGAAAATAGCATAAAGGCCTTAATGGATACTACAGTATATGACAAAGAATTACATATGCAGGCCCACGTCTTCGTATATTCCTCATGTAACGGTACCTCCCAATATTCAGTATTTTCATGATTTTAGATACATTATATCCCGGAAATGTTTCAATTTTCGTATTTGAAATTCGTATTAGGTACTACAGGCCAGAGCAAAAAATTACTTGTTATATGGGGGTATATAACAATACCTCCCGATATTCCGCATTTTGATGCTTTTAGCGACATTCACTGGAATTGTTTCAAGTTTCACATTTGGAGCTCGGAATCTATACTACAGTCTATGATACAAATTTCCTTTAAATTGTGGAGAGTACTAAAAGTACGGCCCGGCCGAACTTCGCTGTCCTTTTCAACTTGGAAAAAAAATTTGCTTCGGTTCAAAAAACGTTTCATTATGTCTTTGTGCATTTGTTTGTAACATGGAGATGGATGTGATAAAATCACATTCTGAGTCGATTTATACATGTCCGCCCGTACGTCTGTCGCATTTCTTGCCCGATCCAGATGAAATTTTGTGCAAGGACGTTTGACCCAAGAACGAACTCTATTGATATTGGAGATAATCGGTCAACATTTAGATATAGCTCCCACATATATATATTTATCCGATTTGCCTTTTATTGTGCACCGAACGAGTAATATTATTCTAAATTAAATGGAATTTTGCATATACGACCAAATAAAGCCTAGAAATAAGTATGCCGAATTTCATCGAAATCGGTTTAGACATAGCTATAGCTTTCAAATATATTGTTCATTCGATTTATTTTTTCTTCCGCAGCCGTAATATCCACTCCCAAACAACAATATTCGGGGAAATATGTCAAATACAGTTTAGATATACGTTTGCCAAATTTTATTGAGATCGGTTCAGATTTGGATATTGCTTCTATTTACATATATCTTTATCCGATTTGAAGTTAATTGTGCACCATGTGATTAATAAAAGCCCCAATTAAAAAGGCATAAATGCCTCGGCAAATTTTGAAGAAATCGATTCAGAGGAGGTTTTTCCGCTCATATATTAATTCGTTTGGACTTTAAATTATAACTAAAATCATAGTTGGTATGATATAATTCTCACAAATTCCCCATAAAAACCTTTTTTTTTATATGAAGCTTTTCTAAATATACTAACAAAGATATAGAAGTGTAAAGATAGGACAAGACAGACTCAAGATATGGCAACCGTATGAAAATATTTCTGTTGTTATCTTGGTAGATGCATCGACTTTTGGGAATATTGATATGTCAAAAAATTCTATATTCTTTCAAATTTAAATATATTTTTATACGTTTTCTTATACGACGTAATTCGGAGGTTATTATAATTCGTTGTTATGATATCATAACAACATAGACACCAATGTTAAATGATTTAAACCATTAAGGCAATATGCTAATTTTTGGAAAGGTCTATAGAATAGAATTTTGAAACC